GTGTTTGCCGCCTTCTGCTGTAAAACGGGGGGAGCGGAGCTTAATTCTTATTGATTTGTTTTACCCACCTTCGAATTCTCGGGGCTCTTTCAGCGCCTTTAGACCCGCCTAAAAAATAAAAAGCGGGGAGCCGTTCTCGGGCACGTCCCCCCCCCGCCCTTCCCCGAGCCGCGGGGGGGTCCAGGGGGCTTCCAACCTCCTCATTTTCCAGCCAGGACCCCTCTTCTGTGCCGGGGGGGGACAAGGGTGGGCAGGGCTCTGCTGGGGGTGACCCCGGCGGGTGGGGGGACCGGCAGGACCCGCGGTCCCGGCTGCCGGCGGCTCATTTCCATCCCCAAAAGAGGGGGGGGGGACGGACCCTCTTCCCCCCCACCAGGGAGGGAGGGGAGGCGGCAGGGAGAGGGGTCGGTGCCGCCGGTGCGGGGGAAGGAGCGGGCTGGGGCTTGGCAAAGCCGATATTTTGGGGTAAAACGGGGTGGGGGGAGGTCTCTGCCGATCGACTTATCTGTTAGAAAGCGCGTCTGCGGGCGAGCTCACCAATCCGGGCCGGGCGAGGCTGCCGAGACCGTCCCCCGGCGTCAGTTTTAATGGGAAACTTCCCTGCCTTGCGGAGGGGGGGATGTATTTTTTGATATAAAACCTGCGGCTGCCGCCGCCCCTCCCCGTCCTCGGCTCCCGGGAGGTTTGGCTCCCACCTCTCCTTCCGGGCTCCCCATTTTTGGCCAGGGGATTATTTTGGGAAAGCCCTCCGCAGGGGTGAAGCGAGAGCCCGTGGCCGTGCCAGGGCGTGAAAGCCCATCCCCAAAAATAAAAAATGAGGAGGAGAAAGAGCCCTGCGCGGAGCTGATCGCCAGATTCCCCCACTCGAAGCCTCCTTGCAGCGCCGCTCGCCCGCAGGCTGCGCACGGCTGCTGCAGAGGGGGCAAATATTAAATATTATATATTGAACATTAGATATTGAATGCGATTTTAGGGAGGGGAAGACGACCCGGCCTCCGGGACGGGTTTTCTTGCTGCGGCGCCGAGAACAAGGAAGGGAAGAGCCAGGGGATGACCTGGGAGTACCCGAAAGGTTGGGGGACCCCAGGATGTCTCCCCTGGCCTCGCCTCGTCCTTCCCGGGGCCAAAACCGGAGCGAAGGTCCGCGGAAAAGCCGCCCGACACACGCCTGGAGCCGGCTGGGCTGCAGGGCTGGGGGGCAGCGGGCAGAGCAGCCCCTCCCGGCCGTGTCCCCCCCGTTCCGACTCGTCCACCTCCTTTTTCCTACCCCCTCTCCCGCAGGAATTCAAGTTCTTGGCCGGTCGCTGTGTGGGGACCCTCCCCCCGGGCTCTGCTGTGGTCTCCCGAATTTGGGGGTTGCCCGGGGGCAGGTCCAGCACAGAGACAAGCCGGGATTCCCGGGAGGATGGAGCCAGGATTCCCGGGAGGATGGAGCCAGGATTCCCGGGAGGATGGAGCCCGGCCCGCTCGCTCTCTCCTCAGAAAGGATTTTTTCCCGGGATTAAACCCCCGCCCGCATAGGATAATTTAATAATCGGCGGGAATTAATTCTGGCTCTGCCTTCGAGAAAAATGATGGTTTGTGGCACAACCCTCTGTCATGGCAGAGAAGAAAAGGACCCAAACCCCGCCAGCACTGGCGGGTTTCCGATGACTCGATGCACCATTCCCAAAATGGCTCAGACGCAGAACATGGAGAAAAGGGGGAATCCGGTTCTTCCATAGAATCTATTTATGCCATTTTCCCAATTATAATACACTTTCCCTCCTGGAAATGAACCTGGAAAGGAACCGGGTGCTGTAGGAAACCTACTAAAGCTTAGGCGGGCAGAAGGTATTTTGTGTTTGTGTCTGGTTCTGTATTCGCGACACATTCCTAAAAATATTAAAATACGCCAATTTAAATAGCTAATAATGGGCAATAATGGGGAAAAAATAAGGGAAAATGTGGAGGAGTGGGATTTTAGAGGTTTCGGACAACGTAAGGATATACCAAAACTTCACACAGGAAAAAAAAAGACCCCAAACCCAACCAAACCTCTGGTACAAAACGATCAGGGGAGGGAGGAGAAGGGACACATTTCTCAGAGCCCTGAGCCCTTTCCCAGCCACCTCCTGCCCCGACGCTCCCCCCGGGCCGGGACTGACCTGGGGCAGCGCGCAGGACCCGCTCCCGAGCCGCAGCCGTGACTGTGAAATTGGGGTGGTTTCCCCCGTTTTTATCTTTCTGCCTCCCCTCTCCGATTCCAACCGCATCCCAATTTGCTCTCACGACGGGCCTTTGCCGTCCTTAATTAAAAAAAAAATCCACCTTTCTCCTGCAGGGTCCGATTCTGCTCCGCGGTTCCTCGGGGGGAGTTTTCCCTTCAGCCTCTTCTTCCTCCAGGGACCGAAGTCCAGGCGCGCTTTGCACATTGATCCTGCCCTTCAAATGGTCACCCTTGGACGCTTCCAGCCAGCCGGGGGATAAAACCGGCCTGTTCCCGAGGGGAGCGGCCGTGGCGATGCCCCCCGAGCGAAGGACCCACTGCAGCCCCGACCCCGCTCCCGGCACTTGCTCCCTTCTCGTTACCGTCCCCCCATCACCGGGAGCCCCCGGGGAATTTGGGGAGGGGGAACGGGGAGGATAAATGGGAGCAGGACTCGCAAAGGAAAATCCAGGGCTGAGGTTTCGGGGTGTTTCGGCTAAAAGGAGTGGTTTGGGCGGTGTTTGGGTGCTGGGTTATTTTTGTTTTTAAAGCGAATATTTGTTGGGAAAGCGCGAAGGAAAAGGCAGCTGGAGCCCGCGGGCTGCGCTCCTCGCGGGGAAGAGCGCAGGGATCATCCCTCGGGAAGGACCCTCTCGAGGGTTTCCTTCTGGAAATACTCGAAGGATGCCAAATGGGCCTCCTCGGGGGGGCTGGAGGGGGCTCAGGGCGTTATCCCCGCCCGGAGGAGACACCGACGGGACGGACCAAACACGACCCATGAGGCGGGTGGAGGGAGGGCTCTGCTCCCTTCTCCCCCGGGCCGAATCCCGATAATCGCTCCTCGACTCGACTTCAGCCGGCGGCCCCATCCCCTCCCCATCCCGAATTTCTTCTCTTTCGGGTTTTCGCGCTGAAGCTCCGCGGCCACAACCGCGCGAGGTACCGGGGGCGGGGGACACGCGGCGGATTTTTCCCACACGACACAAATGACACGAGAAACGGCCCCAAACCGCTGCCTCCCCAAATTCGCTGCCGGCGGGTGCTGGAGGCGACCGGCCCCGGGCCGGGCATCCCCCTCCCGATCTGCTCGGGGCACCCCCGGTTCTCAGAAAAACCTTCCTTGTCAAAGTCACTTTACATCTCCCGAGCCCGAAAACTACCAGGTAACGAGTGTTTCCGACCCGACTCCCAGGACACGGTTTCATTTAATTCCGTAACTCCCCGTCCGTTTCCCTCCTGGCTGCCTTTCCCACCGAGAGACCCCTCCGGGTTTAGCGCGAATTTAAACGTTCAAACCTTGCAGCTGATTCACGACCTGGTCTTAAACCGCAGGATTTTCAGACGGTCTGGAGTTGAACTCTGATTCCAGCCGGGGGGATTTTCGGCTCTTTAGAAGCCCTTGGAATTCCCGTGGCGGTGGCAGAGCCCCTCTGGTATCCGCAGGAAGATGCTGAGGCTGGTTTGTCCCGAGGGTTTCCCGGCCTCAGGACATCCCAAAACCACTCTGCTCCCGTGTTGACAGAAAAATCCCGATCCAATCCCGACCCGGAGCAGCTGAAGAAGGGGAAAAGCAGCCCTGGAAATCCAGTCAGGGGAGAAGCAAAGCAAGAGCAAATCCATGGCTTAACTCCACTTGGAAGTGGATGATGTGAGCTCTCCTCTCCCCCTCACCCACCTGGCCCTTGTCCAGGGACCTTCGGCTCTTGGGTTTATGGTTCTTCTCTGGGCAGTGTCAGCATTTCACACCCTGGATGACACAAACTCCCCTTCTCCGGTCCCTCTGAAGGTTTGGATCCCAAATAGAGCCAAAACCCCCACCACCACACTTCTCCACCTCTGTGCTTGGGAGGTGGTGGGGGTCTGCTCCCCGCTCCCCCATAAAGTAACAAAACAGAATGAAAAGACCCCAAAATCAAAAAGGGAGTCACAGGAGCAAAAAGAGACGGTGGATCCCAGAGGCAGAGCTCGGAGTGTCTCCCCTCCAAGAGAGCAAAGGCAAGTCGTGGCACCATCCTGAAACCATTTAGTTCCCATCCATGGGAGATGGGGGCCTTTTAAGGTCTCTTCTCCCCACCCCACCCCCCAGAGCCACTACCCCTCATATATTATTTTTACTAATGTGCTGGGATTTTTCTTTCTTTTTTTTTTTTTTTTTCTTTTCCT